CATATACACTAAAATGGATACACAGATGAAATTACAACATGCAATTTCCCCACTTATTTGGGTATCTTTTTTTTCCCTTATGACAGTATCTGCTAGATTACATGCCTGATTATAAACCAGCTCATCACTGAATGGTAGGTGAAATAAGCAATGCTAGTATGTGCAATTTCTATTGTCCTAGAGGAATATAAAAAAGAAATTTTCCCATAAATAGATTTTTTTACGTCAAAGGGTAAATACATTTCACATTTTAAACAAAACTGCAAACAACTAACACATAACAAATTGCACTGATTCACACCAACACCTACACCAACGATTGCGCTGATTCACACCAACACTTACAGCATGACAAACAAGCTTTTCTCCATCTTGATGTTGTTATTGGATTTAACAAGTGCAAAGCTGTAGCCTCCTCTAGGTAAACAACAGCGTCTCACTCTCTTGGCTCAAATTTGTTTCAGGATGGCAGTGACATTACATGTCAAAACCAATTTTTGTCTCCTCCTCTCCCATGCCAGGCTATTTACGGCATTTTCTGTCAGCCCACTCAGCACTTGCTAAGCCATCGAGTCCAGCTCTCTGTGTATTAAAGCCATCAGGTGGGCAATTTCTTACAGACAAACATATATCCCACACTTGGTTTTCTTTCCACTTTTCTTATGACACCTGATTGTTCATTTCGGGAAATATACACTAATATCTTCCATTGGACGTTCTGAATGACATTTAATGCTTTGAGTCTTCCTAGAACTAGGAGCCTGGCATTTTTCTACTTTTCTTTTTTTTTTTTTAATGACTGTTTGTTCTTTCAGGGACCTCTGACTCTTTGAAACATCATATGAATGCTTCTCTTCCGCCGAACACTCCTGACATCAGTAATTAATGCAGATAGATCGGCACTGGACACGTATGTAAGATGAACGTGCCAGTGGCCAACCCGCATGTCCTTCCCTTAGGAAACAAGGAGGGGGCCTCAGGACGACAGGCTAATAGCACCTGAGAGTGGGCAGGCTTTCTTTTGCTGTTTTCACAGTGGCATCTAGCCATCCCTACCAAATCCCTGAATCAAACACAGGAGACAGGAGAGGAGATAGGCCATGGGAGGTGACAAGGCACACACTAGCAAGACCCCCAGGACTGTCCTTCTACTCATTTACATCTTCTTCCCTTTTACGACACAGAACTATTTACGACACAGAACTAGGTCTCTGGCAGACGGCAGTAAATGGCACTGCTCGCAAAACATCCGACAGACGTCTATTGCCTCTGAGTAGCAACCTGTTAGCTCCATCACGAAGAGAAACACCCAGACCCTGAGCAACAGACCTCTGCCTATTCAAAGCCCTCAAGATCACATCTAAAACCAATGCTGAGGTGGAAAAAAAAAATCCAAGCTAAGGCAATGCAGTAAAAAACAATTAAAGGATCATTAAAGTTTTAACCACATATTCTCTCTTCTCTCTAAAAGAGCTGAAGACAATCAAAGCAATAAAAGACTAATCAACAGACACATAAAGGTTGGGAAATGAGGACCAAATGCCACAAAGAGGAGGAAGATCACACACTTTAAAAAGCTGATGAGTTATACCTAAGAAACAGAATCTATCATTCACTTAGCAGTCAGTAAGACTACCAGGCCCTAGGTTGGATGCTAGAGGAACAGAATGGCTTACGGCACACAATTCCAGGCCCCAAGGAATCTGTCCTTGCCTGACCCTCTGTAGGCTTCAACTATTGTGACAATCATGTAACAGAACTGTTAAAATCCAGCTGGTGTAGTGGCACACACTTTTAATTCCAGCACTCTGGAGACAGAAGCAGGTAGATCTCTGGGAGTTCAAGGCCAGCCTGGTCTGCAGAGCAGATTCCCGGCCAGCCAGGGCTACACAGTGAGATCCTGCCTCACAAAAAGCAAAACATCAAAATTATAAACAGTAATAACTTAAAATAATTGCATACTCACTCATGACTTCGCTTTGTAAATATGTAAAATTACAACTGCCTCATCCTCTTTCCTCTCAGGTGCCTCCCTCGTGCCTCTCTAAAGAACTAGCAGAAAATTGGCCCTGAAAATTAGCTCATTTCCTCTATGGAGTAACCAAATAATGGTGGATACCAACCTCCAACTAGACGTCTATTGCCACCAAGTAAAACCTTCAGTACCAAATGGAACGTCTTCATCAAACCCCTCCCCTCAGAGCTCAGAGAACTACGTGGACGAGGAGGCAGAAAGACTGGAAAAGCCAGAAGGGATGGATGGATTGCACCAAGGAAACAGCGTCTTCCAGACTGACACACTACAAAGACTGTGGTTGCCGTGTCCAGGGCCTGCACAGATCCGTGCCAGTTGAAGTCCCAGTTCTGAGAGGGGGAATTGGATACTTTCTCCCATCCCTAACCAACAAGCTATCTCCAACTGACACCTACTTGCAAAGTAAAAATTAGTTTCTCCAATGAAGTCTTGTTGGACATACAAATCACACTTGAGGGCAGGTCCTACGCACAGAAGTAGAACACAAAATAAACTCAGTAGTAGTTCTGGGATTTTTTTTTCTCATATTGTTTTGTTTGGTCATTTCTTTTAAATCTTACTAGTCTTTTTCTTGTGTACTATGGTGTCAGGTTTTATCTTCGTATGTGTGTGCACGTGTGTGCGCACATGTGTGCACATATGTGTATATGCATTTCTTATACTTTTTCCTTCATCCCTTTATTTGTTTATTCTGGTTTGTTTGTTTATTTACCTGTTCATTTTCTACAGAGAGAGAGAGAGAGAAAGCAAGCTAGGTACGGAGTTGAAAGGGTGGGGAGAATCTGGGAGGAGACAAGAGAAGGGAAATCGTAATTATTATATGAAAAAAAGTGTTTTCAAATAAAATATATAACTTATTTCTCTTATTTGTCACTATAAACTTACATATATGTGTATATATATAATATACATAATACAACAGTTACATATTACATGACCTCATATACTTGTGTATGTGTGTATATATTTCTGTGTGTATTCCTAAGCAAAACAATACCCACAGCATCACATTAATTTGATGGGAATGGTTGAATGGTTAAGCAATATTCTTTTGCAATTTGCTTTTGTTGCCCAATACTCTATTTGAGTTTCATCCATGTAGACAAGTGCGGGGCTAGTTCATTTGCTTTCTCCGTGTGACTGGATCACAGTTCATTTATCCATTTCCCAACCGACTTGGGCTTTAGGCTGCTTGGAATGCTGAGCAACGGTGAGCGCCGCCACTGCTGGAGTTTAGCGGCTTCCCTGGGTACGCGCCCCTTCTCTAGAGCTCCAGCCGGAGACCCTTTCGCACCCTGTAGTCATTTTACTATACCATAATTTTAACAATCTTCTTTTCATCCAGCCACCTTTGAAGTTGTTTTTAATTTTTTCATTTATTTATTTAGTGTGTACGTGTAGGCATGTGCACAGCATATGGGCGCAACCAAGCATTTTTGGAGGTCAGAGGGCAAATGGTGACAACTGAATCTCTCCTTCTACCGTGTGTGCTCCAGGGGTTAAACCCAGGTCATCAGGCTTGATGGCAAGCACCATTGCTACCCACAGACCCTCTGACACTTTTTAGTTCTGATAATAGTTAAGGGGAAAAAATGTCATTCCAAAGGAACATCTGCCTGTCCTTCTCTTTGTCTACCCATAGATGAAGCTTAATTTTGGACTGTAAAGACCTCTGTAGCCAATTACTACCTGCTGGATAGTCAGGCATGCAAGTCTTGAAACTAAGATCGTCTGAGGTCTCATGGGCATCAGACTAGAATTTCCACTGGGAGCCATGGAAGCAGGGCTACTACCTCATTCAGGAACCCATCCTGAACATACCTCTTATAGCCAGATCTTCTACATCCTAAAAAGACAGGCAAAGCTCAAAGTCTTTCCACTCCTCAGTGTTCACCTGCTTCTCCATCTCTCTGTGCCTCACCAAGAATTCATTTTTCTTCTTGCATACTAATTTTATTCCTCATTAAGTGCATGTTCCAGATTAATAAAAATGGATTGGTGTATTAAAATAATAGTTAATGGTATCTTCTCACAAGCATACTGAGCCATTGCTAGACCTTAAAATGCGTAAGTAGAAATGAGTTACTATGTGTGTGCACAGGGTGCCTGCTTTTCCTGTTTCCTTAGTATCTCAAGCATGATCATTCCAAATGATAGCTACCTCCCGAGAGCCCTTTCTTTCATCTCTCTGCTACCTTCGCTGCCCACATCTTAGTCATTTTCTACATCTTGGTCAAGTGGGTTCTTTAAATTCTTCCTGATTTTCCTATCAGAATCAGACTTCTCATTCCATAACTTTCGACAGATTTGAAATAAAAAGCATAGACAGCAGATTCCACTGAATAGTTTTAGTGATATGCTTCTGCCTTCCTTATAATTGTATAAGGACTTGAGACCTCCAGACTCTCCTGCATCTTCATGGTCTAGAACAGCGGTTCTCAATGGGTGGGTCGCGACACCTGTGGGAGTTGCATTATCAGATACCCGGCATATCAGACATATATGTTATGATTCTTAACAGCAACAAGATTACAGTTATGAAGTGGCAATGAAAATAATTGTATGGTTGGGGGTCAGCACAACATGAGGAACTGTATTAAAGGGTCGCAGCATTAGAAAGGCTCAAAATCACTGGTCTAGACATTGACCAGCTATTTCAATACAAGAGTGAAGCTCAGTTTTAGGAGGACCAGGCTGAATCTTTCCGAACACTTCTCTTCCTCATACTGTCATATTTGCAACCCCTAAAGGTGTTCCTAATGGAGACACAGGTCAGATGGTGGTACAAACTTCAGCAACGGAGAAAACTTAATTGCAAAGAGCTTGATCTACAAAGGAATTTTAATCTGCCATTTCAGAATTAGTAGTAAAGCAACAGTAAAACCTAGGGAGATAAAAGAGACAGGTAGGATTGTTTTAAAAAGATAACAAAAGAAACCAGACTCCAGACAGAGTCCTCGGTTACCTGCATGAGCAGAGAGAGGCGAGTGTGGTCTGGGCAAAGCTGGTGACTGGCCATTGCCTATCAAACTTTTCCGGTTGCTTGTTCGGCAACTGTCAAAAGGAAAGAAAAAACCAGGTGAAGAAAAACACCAATAACATCAGAGCAAGTTCAAGGCTTCCACAGACAAGGATGCGTGCTCTCTAGGACCTCCTCATACTGTTGCTAACGGCACAGAGAGCTACTGTGTGCTCACTAACATGTGGTTGAAACCTATCCCCTGAATATGAAAGACCATAATAGGTTCAACACTTATAACATATTCATACAGCATAGCACCATCAATATTCCTTATCACAGCGGGGCCATAATCAAATGCCTTCTCTCGGCTCATGTCTGAATCTGCAAATATGTGCCATGTCATACAAGCAAGTGACAAATTAAGGATTCAGATTAGCAAACCACAGGTAGCATCTTTGCTGACATGAAATTTCTAATAGGAAATCATAGGCAACGAAGCGGATGACATTAATCTTACAATGATGCACTAATTAAAAATCTAATTACTTAGACAACTTTCATATTCATGTCTTTTGTCAATAAAGCAGTTGATGCCTATGATAAATGCAGCTCACACTCACTCATTTTTCACCTGGTATACTACATTCCAAATTCCCTGTTAAGGTACATGGTTGAAAACAGAAAAACAGACTCTAGTGTTTTAAAGCAGCAAGAATAACATCTTCTCATTACCACACTTGGCTATTGGCTTTAACCTGAACCTCCAGTGAATGGATTAATATACATGGATACAAGGCACCCACTTTTCCCATTTCCACCAGTAAGGAGTCATCAGATGAAGAGTTAGATAGTAAAGTAACATGCATGAGCATCAAAGACTACAGCAGAGTCGGGTGGTGGTGGCACAGGTCTTTAATCTCAGCACCTGGGAGGTAGAAGCAGGCAGATCTCAGTGAGTTCGAGGCCAGCATGGTCTACCAACCGAGTTCCAGGACAGCCAGGACTATTACACAGAGCAGCCCTGTCTCAAAACAAAACTAAAACCAAATCAAAATAAAACAAAAAGACTATAGCAAAAACAAAATCCAGTGATGGTAAAGTGGATATTTTCTTTAATTTGTTTGCTCTCCTTTGATATATATTAACCCATTTATTTTCCTTGACGAGTGCAGCATCCAGAAAGGGTGATGGATTCAAAGAGACACCTCCCTGATTTCACCAAAGAGTGTTCAGAGTATTCTGAGGCTACACAGGCACCACCTTCCTCATCTTAAGATTTGACTGTAATTAGCAGAGCCTTGATTCACATGAGTCCCCCATGAGGCCATCTTTCTGAAAGTCTCTAAAAGAGATTGAGGATTTGACATTTCACCAGCTATGTAGAAGACTAAAACCGAAGGATCACACGAAGACTAACCTGGAGTCCCCAGCAAGTTCAAGACCAGCATGTGCAATGTATTGAGACTCTTTCTGAGGGGGGGAGGGAGAGGAGGGGAGGGGAAGCTATAAAAGGGCCTGGGAAATAGTTCAGTATTGGGTGCTTGTCTATCATGTAAGAGAACCCTAGGTTCAAATCCTCAACAATGGAAAAATAAAATAGACTATTTGAAAGGGTTATTCCTAATCTTTAAAGAACACATTTCAAACCTGTTCCAATTTCTCTCAGTAACACTGGGGAGTTGGTTTACTTGATGTCTGTTGCCTGTTATCACCGCCAGGGCTCCCATACTTAGCATTTCTTAAGGTCAGACAGCATGGTTTTCTTGTCCGTGTTGCTGCAATCAACATCCCCTAGCACTATCTGTGAGTTTAATTAACATCATGTTTACTTAGCCTTAAAGAAGCTGTTGAATAATGATAGACCCCTGATAGTTAATTAGGAAGGTAGACTGTGATATTATCAACTCATCTATCAAGAACTGTATTCTCAAGCTATTAAATTTATAATCATTAAGTCAGATAGTCTGATTGTTTTTAAAAGATACTGCAGAATATTTTTGGTGCTAATTCAAATTAATGTCTCCTTTCCCTTCAGGAAGGGACCATGAAATGTATGAGTCTGTCAGTGTTTGTCAGAGAAATCAGAAATGGTAAACTCATAACCTGGAGATTTCAGCGAGAAAAGTAACTAAAATTTAGACTAGTTATTACAAAAATAGGCATTTTTATTTTTACATTTAATATTTAATCTATGTAATTTGTAAATACTCTCTCAGCATATTTATTTATTAGTGTTCCTATATGTAAATAAAATGAATGAGAAATGTGTGTCAACATGAACAGTAACCTAGTAAATATCTTAATTATGGATGTCGATATTAATTAATAATAAAAATGTCACATACTAATGTGAATGTCCTAAAGCTAAAATTAGGAAGGGTTATTTTGAAAAAAGAAAAAAAAAGTTTACCTTAAAAAATCAATGTAGACTGACCTGTATATTACTATTACAGGAAGCAAAATAATGGAAAAGTAAAATAAAAAAAGTCTCGCAATTACATCAGTTATTTAAAGTCTATTAGCAAGCACTAAAAGGATGATTTAAATACTCTTGAAAAAGAAACCTGTATGTAAATCCTGAAAGTGGGTTTCACTGAAATAATAAGAGGCCTATTAAAGTGTCCATAAGCTTTGATACCTTCCATAGGGGGCAGGAGGTATTATCAAGATTGTCACCCACTGGGAACTTTCTGCACTCTCTCAACAATCCAAGAGGAAGCCTTTAAACATAAGCTGCTCCAGTGTGGTAAAACCAGAGTGAGGAAATACAGGTCACAACAGAGTCCCACGAGTACACAAGACACACCTCCATATTTAGGACATAGGATTTTGACTTCACAATGACTTTATTGCTGAGATTCTTAAAGGTAAAGGGGCATTTGACTATACATTGAATCTTGAAATACCTGAAGCATATGTGTGTTTGTGGTTGCCTCCTCTCCTGCACACACATGCACACGCACACGCACACACACATGCACACATGCGCGCACAGCTCCTTCCCTTTCATCAGAGAGATTAAGTTCCTCTCACTTCTCCCCAGGTCGTTATCCATGGGAAAAACAGGGACATCCAACCAAGTCTAACAGTAAAGACACCTCTCTTCCTCATAAATCTCTCATAATTCATCCCAACTGCAGAACTGAATCTTGTCAAATGTTTTCTCTAGTTTGGATCCTCGGGTGCACAGGTGCACAGGGCGAAAAAGAAGCTGGAGAGACTTACACACTCATGCTGGATCTGCTCCACCCTGAAATGCACTCTCCCTGACTCTTTCAGATAAAGTCCTCTTCTCATCCTAGCCGCACGCTCCTATCTCATGGTCTAAGCCGTGTTCACCCCTCCAAAGCACCTCCATCGCAGTCTCCAGTGGAAGCAACCCAAAAGAAAACTTACTCTTCCAACACACAGTGGGCTCTGTTTACCTGAGAGAGTTCGGGGGTGACTGTCCTTGTTTAAGCCACACAATAACACACTATTAGCCCATCCTCATAAAGCCGGAATTTAGCAAGAAGACAGTTGTGTACAACTTGAGACAAAGGCAGAAATAAACTGGATTAGGACAGGGACTGATCATCCACAGTTACCATTCTATTAGTCACCCTCTGGTTCCTCCCTGAAAAGATCCACCCAGGGACAAGGATGAAGTTCAGAAAGAAGTCTCTCTCTCTCTCTCTCACTCTCTCTCTCTCTCTCTCTCTCTCTCTCTCACACACACACACGCACACGCACACGCACACACAAACACACACACAAACACACACACACGCACACACACACAAACACACACACACACGCACACACGCGCAGACACACACACACACACACACGGCACAGAAAGTGCACCCTGCCTACTGCAGACCTGGTAAGAAACAGGATGATGGAAAGATGACGAAGACATTTTGAGTGAGCTGGGCCGGCTGGCCACCGAAGACTGGGGAGGCACACAAGCAAGACAGAATCCTGAGTATAAGAAAGGCTGTTATTCTTTTGAATAGCAATTGTGGGCAAACTTTGGAGTGATGTGAAGCTGATATATACAATGCAGCCTTGTGACTGGTTGTAGGATTTTTGTGCTGGTATATGACATGAAGCTTGAACAGGATACTACTCCTGCCCTTAAGTTCCCTGCCATCCCCAAGATAGGTCCCAAAGCTTTTCTACATGGTCACAACTACTAGCAGGCCTTCCATTTGTTTGGATGACAAAGAAAATGTACGCAGGTTTCATATCTAAGTCGGACCAGACTCAGTGAGGACTGAGACATTGGGTTATCAGGCTGATGGAAGGCAATTCTGGTCCAGAGACCCACACCCCATTTCTGCCTAAATTATCTGTAAGCTCAGGTTTCCCTCAGAAAGGCTTGGGGGCTCAGTGAATGTCTGGCACGTGGATAAGCCACTTGTCTCCTGGTGGAAGAACCTATTACCCATCACCTGCCAGGTCTCTGAAAGTCCAGCAGGCCATGATGTTTTCCTATAATTCCAAGTAGCTAAAATTCAGCTCAATTTTAATTTACATTTACCGTGAGACACGAGTTCTTAACATGTCTGACCATGGTAAGACAACCCAGCAGACAAACCCCCACTGGCAGGAATTTTTCATCTGCAGCTGACTGGAACAGTCAACACTGAGTACAACCTGGCACTGACCACCAAGAAGAGAGCAGAGAAGCCGGCTCCAGCTTATTGCTTTACCTTGATGAAGAGTTGGATAAATTTGCACGGGAGACCAATTACAGACCAAAGCTGCACTCTTCAGGAACATCTGGGAGCTATTTCCTCGCACCACAGTTGAATCTGACCATCTGAATATTCTTTAAACACAGAGGAGGGCTGAAGAGGTGGAGACTGGCAAAAACGGTCTAATGAACTGCCAGATTAATGCTGTTATATACACAAGAGATGCTTCAGCCTCCATATCTTCAAAGTCAAGGGGTTTGTCCACATGAGGAAAATAGTAAAAATTTAGTTTCTGGGTCCAAGAAATGTTTTAAAAGACAGAAAAGAATCCAATAGTTCAAACCACTCTAAGATGAATACTTATATCATTTGTTGTATCTGTTACAAATCTTTTTTTAAAAAAGAGAATT